TTGAAAAGTCATAGAATATGGAGCTATAATGTTGGCAAACTATGATTTAAATGCATAAGTTAAGTATTGGTTTGCACCTAACAGGAAAAAAAAATACATGAGGGATAATTGTGAATACATGAGCTAAGCTTCAACTCATACCATAGATGAAACTTAATTATACAAAAGTGCTTCATTTAATGAAGCTTATTATAATTAGTTTTGGCATGCATATGGATAATATAGTGGTATCTACTTTTAAATTGCTTAAATTAATTAAGTAATGACCTCCATATCATTTTACAGTAAAATTTAAGGCAGAAAAGTTATTTGCTTTTCCAGGGCATAATAAAGAGGAAAAAGAAATATGTGCATGCAAGTGTAATAGAGAAAATAATCCAGCCAGGATAGAAAACATAGTTTAGAGGTATGAGAATTAAGCACAAAGATTCACTTGTACAAAAAATAAATTATTTTCATATGGAGTTCAGTTTACTGTTGAGAGCCATCCATGGGCTGTGTATGGACTGTGTTGTGCACCCACCTAGCCTAATGAATAGGATAACCTGGTGTCTGGGATCTTGCAGTGGACATTTCCTCTAGTGTATTGCCCAGAGACATTGTGAATTTCTATTGCACTCTGCCATGTCCCACACCGCACTGGAGATGAGGGTGACTTGCCAAGATGTCAACCAACCTGCTGACTGTAAGACTTCCAGAAGCAATACTCCACCCTTGAAACCTTACCCCTGCCTTTGATGTAATCCCTTAAATAAACCATGGGAGCCATTTTCTAATTGTTCAGCTCCAGCTTCTATGTGGGCTGGACCTATCAGGAGCTCCCCTTTTAAAACTATCTCTCCTGACTTTGTCTTTTGTTCTTTACTAATTATTCTAGACTTTAATTTCTCTGGTGGCTTACAGCCTCCTTGGTAGGAAGAAGAAACCCCTATATGAGGCACTGGACACCTTCCCATAGTTCACATTTTATTTATTTATTTTTTGTATTGTTTTGGTGTGGTTTCTTAAAAGTAAAATATAAGTACATATGACTTTTGTTTGGTAGGTAGAAAAATTTATGGTAGATCCAAAACTGAAAATAAATACAAAGGAAGCAAGTCAACTCATAAATAAAACATCACTGTCATCATGGCAGGAATCGTAAGTCTTAGGAATAAATAATTATTAAAAATTATTAGAATTCCTAGTTCAGAAATAATTTTTAAAACCTTGATCAAAATATATTTCTATAGCAAATTCACATGAATTTCTATTTATACAATCCTCCTGACTCAACAGAAACAGACTTTGAAACTATACCTGACTTCTCATGAAAGATTTTTAGATTTTACACTTTGAAATAGAACTCTTGCTTATAACTGAAACATAATGTTTTGGTTATATTTAGCATTACATAGAAATTCAGACACTACTAAAATAGCCTATAAAGGAGAAACACTTAATTTAGCTTTCAGAAAGAAGTCCATAAAATACATTGCTACCACATGTACTACTTATATGTTCAGAAAGAAAGAAAAAAATTACATAGACCTTAGGTGTTGTTTTTTTTTTTTTATTGTGTGTGTGTGTGTGTGTGTGTGTGTGTGTGTGTGGTGCTGGGGATTGAACCCAGGGCCTTATGCATGTGAGGCAAGCTCTCTACCAACTGAGCTATATCCCCAGACCCATACCTTAGTATTTTAAAAATGCATTTTTGCTTTCTGAATGAAATGGAAACAACATGATATGTAATCTAAAGAGAATATTAACTTACCTGTGGATAAAAATTACCTCATCAGGCGTCAGTATCTTCTTTTTGCAGTATCTTCTATTTGGGGTGGGCTTGTTAATAAATATTTGATGATTGTATGAACTGATATTTTCAATATGCTATAGTTTTGGTAGCTAGTAGGGATTGCCAACTTAGGCATAAATTTGTATCTTCAAAGGAAGTTGTAGTCATGAACACTTCATGCTTTGGGCCTGATGTTCAGAACATATGATGGCATACTTTACCAAAAGCTGTTCTAAAGTTGCAAGTGGCAACACAGCTGGTGGAATTTTTTTTTTAATTTAAATTATTTTTTCTCACTAAATGTTTTCCATTTTTTTCAGAAAACGTTTTTTAAACACTTTAGGGCAGAAACGTAGTCCTGTGTGAAATACTTTATTTACACTGTGCATTTTACGCTGCACTCACATAAATTATGCTTCAAGAGAAAAATGTTAATGCATTATGTATCTGTTAACATTATTAGTAGTGTTCATTCATTCACTAGAAAGAAATCCTTTAATTTAATATTATAGCAATTCTATAATTTTTTATTTAAAGTTGTACTCTGTAAATTTAGTTTAAACATTTCTTTATTCTGGCACTCTCTCTCTGGCAATGGCCCAGATTCTCACTTGAATGTATATTTTGTACTTTACCCCAAAAATGTCTCTTCCCTGAGAAAGCCCATAATCTCCTTTCCTGAATAACCTTTTCTGAATAAATCTCTGTATTTCTGAGAAACAAGCAAACAAAAGTTCTTCATCCCAATCCATACATTTTTCTATATTTCTTCAGTGACATAAAAATTTGTAACTCTACTTTCAAATCTATAAATACATTTTGAGTCTGTTTCTATTCTATAAGGTCAAAGGTTGAAATCCACTTTCATTTATGGTCTCATACTGAGCTCTTTCCTTAATACCATTTACTAAATAACCCAGTTAATTCACATCAAATTATGTCCAAATGTCTCATTTATAGAAGTAAAATGTTATGTGTTCTCAGAGCTCTCTTTGGCCCATCTGTTTTTCTTACAAAGTCTTCATATGTAGACTATCATGCTAGATGGCACATGAAGTCCCACCTGGTTACTCTTCTTTTTCAAAGATTACATTGATTTAAAAGACATTATTTTTTCTCTAGATTTTAGAATGTGTTTATTAGCTCATATAACAAACTTCAATTAAATTTTGGTAATATACTGTGTGAATTAATTGGGTAATAATTGGTTTAGTCAATTTAACTGAACATAATAATAGAGTCTTATGACAGAAAACTTAAACATATTTTGTTATTTCTAAGATTTCTATGTGTTTTGTCGGTATAGTAGTTGATGTCACATTGTGTAATAAATTTTGATATTTTAACTGATGGAGAGTAATTGCTATTTTTTTAAAAAAATTGCGTATATCCTCTGAATCTGCCAGACTATATCCTTTGTACTAATTTTGATGGAAAAATGATTCTTTCCCTTATCAATATTCTTTTAAGGTTCATCCACATTGAGTCACTAATCCAGTCTTTTCTATCACTGAATAATATCCCATTGCTGAATAATATCCCATTGTATAGATACAATACATTTTATTTATCTATATTATAATTTGATGAACCTTGAGACAATTAAAAATACTGTATGAACATTCACAATAGGCTTTACCATTTATTTTTGTTTTTCTTGAGTATATAAAAAGTGTAGTAGTTAGATCATCTGGCAAGTCTGATTAAACATTTGAGGAACTGACAGAGTATTTCCAAAGCATGGATTCATGTTACTACCTCACCAGAAGTCTGTGAGTTCTATTTCCCCATAGCTTTGAAAATCAATACTTCTTTCGCCTATTTTTTTTAAATTATAGCCATATTGTTTGTTGTAAAAAGGCAAGTATATCTACTTGCATTTTCATTCTTTCATCATTAAGTATAATAATAATTTAGCTTTATTTGTTTCCCATTTTAAATATTCTTTATCATATTGTAAAAGTTCCACTGAATGTGTTTAAGATGAAATGGTGTAAAATCTTGCCAAATGTTTTGTTTTCTGCATCTCTTAAACCTATTGTGCAATTCACTTGTCTTTTCTTCCTTAATTACATGATAAGGCGTAATACATTAATGGATTTTAGGTTGTACAAGCAACTTTGCATTATTGTGATAAATTCCACTTGGTCATAGTATATAAACCTTTTTATATGTAATGCTATCATTGTGCTGAGTGTTCTTTGCTTTAGATTAGTAAAATGTTAGTTGGTAGATTCTTGTCAGTTTCATTGAAACATTGTACTATTGGCATCATAGATGGTTACATTGTTTCCTCCCTCCTTCTATTTTAGAAAGTTTATAAATAACTTCTATTAGTTCTGCTTTAAATATTTGCTAGAATATCACCACAAAGTCATATAGTTCTGGTTATTTATTAATCTTGCTTATTTAATTACTTGATTCAAATGTTTTATTGCTATAAATATAATCAATTTTTTAATTTATTTTTGTATCATTCTCAGTAATTTGTATTTGCTGAAAATTTCCCCATTTCATAGTATTTTAACATGTTTTGACATATAATTTAATAATAGTCTCTCATTCATGATTTCAGCAATGTGAGTATTCTGATTTATTTTTCCTCATGTAGATAAATTTTTATTCACTTTGTTATTACTATAAAAGGATAAATTTTGATCTCATTGATATTCTTCATTGCTTATCTGGGCTCTTTTTTAAATTTATTTTACTTTTTATAATTTACTTCCTTCTGCTTGTTTTACTTTGATTTTCTTTTTTCCTTTAATATTTTATTATGTAAATTTAGGATATTGATTGAAACCATCATTTTAGAGCAATATTGTTTTATTTCTTTAATGTTACTTTGACTATATTTTGTGAATTACATTCTTAGTAGTTATTCCAGAACTTGTCATACAAATCTTAGCTTATCAAAATATACCACAAATTTATATTAACTTATTTTTAGAGTGATATAGATAAGTTTCACCTTTATAGACCTATTCAATCTTCATTTCCTTTGTGTGTGTGTGTGTTTGTATATGCTACCATTATTATACACAATGAATCTGTAATGTAACAGTATATATCAGTTATATATGAATATGTAAATATTTGATATTCATATTCAAAATTGTAAACAAAACAATGATGACTACAAAGTATTATGAAATCCTTCAATAATGATTTATTATAAGTTTTTCAAATATTGGAGATATTCTTCATTTAAACAATACATAAATACCTGGATGTATTGACTTCATCTTTATAAAAGATTTCATGTTGGCACCTGTTCTCTTCATAGTCAGTTGTATTTTGCAGACACCTTTTGGCAGCACATCTCGGAATGCACAGACACAAATATTCCTGATTATCTTCTTCACTCAAACAACTACATCTCTTTGCAGGACTCTAAAAAAGAAAAAAAAAGCAATAATAATGTTTTCACGTTCCATCATAAACACCATCTTTGTCATTTCAAGTTGGCTTTCATGTTAGATTTTAGGAATTAAAATTTTGTGTTCCTGTGGCAAGGATAAATAAAATTCACTTTTGATTTATATCATAATCATTTTCTGCACTCATATACTGTTCAGACTCAAATCTCAAATTATAATAAGCATACATTTTACAAAAATTAAATATATGATTATTCATTACACAAATATTTCAAACCTTTTTCATTTATTTTTATCTAATTTTCACTGATATTCCTTGAATTTTAAATGGCATTGTGAAAATATCATTAAATGGAGAAACAGGTCCATGGAAAATTCATTTCTGGTATCAAAACTTTTTTTTTTTCTCTATGAGGGAGTATTTGGATTCTCCTTTGAACCATAAGTAAAATGTTACTGGATTCATTATTATAAATGAGTTCAGTTATATCTTTAACATATATTTAGTTTATATTTCCATAAAGTCATGATTTTATGTTTTTTTGAAAATTATCTTTTTAACAATTTTAGAAGTATGCCACATATCATCAATGGATTATCATGACAAAGAGGTGAATTTTGCCACCAGGTAAGACACCTCTTAAGGAGAGGTTAAACCCAGCCTTGTCCTTTCCTAATTGCTTAAAACAACTCTAATATAGCAAAAGAACTTCAATTTCCCACCCTTCTTTTTATCAGTTTCCTCTGGATATATCCATATATTCTTGTGATCGGGTTTATAGAAAATAAGTTATTTTCCATGAATAAAAACAAGTTTAGGAATTTGGTTTCATGATCTGAACCTTTGGTGGCAAAAATTTGATGGCTTATAGAAATCTAATCTTTGTTGGGTAAGAGTAAACTGAAAATTTTTTTTTTCATTTTTATTTTGTGCTCAATTCAAGGAAGAATGTCAAGTCGAAAAGGAAGAGCTCTTAAACATTACAGGTAAGTAGGGATTTTTTTCAAATGTTATTTACATATTAACTGTGGCTAAAATTTTATTATTAAAACTGTAGACCTCATCCGTCTCTGTATTTGTTTACAATGCAGGAATGACTTTATTTCCAACAGTTTGGACATGCTATGATTTCCTAGATTCAGAAAGTATTAGTTGTATAAGCTCTTAAATTAAAGGATTACTGTTATAATTGGCTTACAAAATTAAATAAACACATATAAGAAACAACAAATATTAGCATTTTATTACTTTATTTTCCCCTTCTCATTTTACACACACACTCACAAATACACACAATACTAGTTTGGCTTTGAGAAACTTGAGCTATAGCACATTGTTCCCCCAAATGTAGTATTTCTAATGAAAACAAGTATAATTATCTTTCATTACCTTAGAAAAATGATCAAAGATAAGAAGAAAACCTAGCTCTAATACTACATTTCTAGTATATAACTTGATTTGAAGTTTTCTTATTATTGTAAACCAGTGTATAAATCATTCACCTGCAGCATAATCAGAAAACAAAACAACAATAACTTTGAATTACCAATATGTGGAAAAGACAAAAGCATCAGTGTTACTAGTTTTGGCTCTCTCTCTCTCTCTCTCTCTCTCTCTCTCTCTCTCTCTCTCTCTCTCTCTGTAGGCCTTATTGTTTTATAGAGATTGTATTAGGAGATTTAGATTTACATGCCTGCCATGACCTTGATTGCATTGAAAGTTATCCCAGCTGATTTGCTTTAATTATGAAAGCAATATAATTTAGTTATTCTTATTTTAAAATTCATTCCACTTATTTTCTATATATGAGGATTCATATACACATATATAAATGCTAATATATTTTCTTGATTTTTGGTATAAGCTCTCAAAATTTTTAACATTATCAATGGACTTCAGTATGCACAGTGTTGTCAAACATTTCACATATACAGTCTATTTGAAGGGTTAAATGATGTGGGTTTCAAAAAAGTAGGTGAGACTACACTATTCAACATGGTACCTCAGACACTGACTTTGGGTGCATTTGTCTGCTGGGAATTATTCATGTTTTACTTTTGTGTCTCTGACAGCTACTCCGGCAGTCACTGCCCCACTAGCAGTGTTTTTCCCATAGTTTCTATTTGTTTATGTTGCCTGTTTCAGGAGTGTGATCAGGAGTATATGTAATTATATGTTTAGTCCACAAAAGACTAAAAGAGCATAGCTTCCCAGATACTGGGTAAAAACATAGTTTTCTTTATTAGTTTATTTGTTTGCATATTGTAGTGTAGTCTGTGTGAGTTCAGAAGAGCACAAAGAAAAAAAGAAGGTACTAATAGATAATCACACTAAGCCTAGAATCTATGAAGACTTAGATGTGCTTATTAAACTATATTAACTAAAGCATAAATAAAACAATTCATGATTTGTTAATTTATAATAGAAAAAAGTCACAAACTAAAGAATCATTGTATTTGTAACTATTATAAATATAGGTAACTAAAAAATACACAATAAATTATTGAGAAAGAGCAATGTTTTTACAACATGGGATAATAGTATAGAATTCAAAGTCAGGCTCAGTATAATTTTCTATGAATATATGCTTTATTTTTACTTTATTTTCACAGTAATTATTACAGGGATTTCAAATAAACTGAGGGTTTCTTTTCTTTTCTGGTTTTGTTTTTTGTTTGTTTGCATGAGAGATGACTGAATTATATTTGAAAGCAAATAAAATTTATAGTCAAAGAGACCAGAAAAGCGCATCTCAGTTTCCAAATGACCTTGAGCAAATCTTCAGCTGTATGCACTTCACTTTCTGTATAGTTTGGAAAACATCCACTTTTCATAGTCCTCATGAGGAAAAAAGGTTAAATGACTGCCCAGCTTTATGAAACTAGAAAGAAGTCAGCACAAAAGCACATAGCACAATTCTCAACCCATGGTACATTCTGAATAAATATTAACCATCTTTATGAGTGATAGAACTAGGATTTAGACTCAGGTATCCTAGGCCTATGTGTTTTACATGCTGTCATCTCTTATCTATCATTTTCACAAAGTACAGCTGAACCAGAACAAGAATGTTATTCCATTATGCTTCTTGAATTTATTTTAATAAGTTTATTATAGTTATACATAAATGTAGAATTCATTATGATTTGTTTATACAAGCATATGACATAGTTTAGATAATTCATTCTCTTTTTCCTCCCTTTTCCCCTCCCTCTACTCTTCCCCTTGTTCCCTTCCTCTACTCCACTGTTCCCCTTTCTATTTTCTCTAGCTTCCCCATATCAGAGAAAACATTTAATTATTTACTTCCTGGCATCTGCTTATTTCACTCAGTATTATGTTCTCTTGTTCCATCGATTTATTAGCAAATGACATAATCCCATCCTACTTTATGTATTGATAAAACTCCCTCATGTGTATGTGTGTGTGCATAAGTGTAATAATACACATATATATGTGTGTATATATATTTGTGTGTGTGTGTATATATATATATATATATATATATATATATATATATATATATATATATAATACTTTCTTTATTGATTACTCTGTTGAGCGACACCTAAGTAGACTGGTTCCACAACGTGGCTATGGTGAACTGTGGAATAAATAATAATAAACATTGGAATGTATGTATTAGTATAGTATGCTCTGTTTCATTCTTTCAGATAAATACCAAGAAGTGCAATAGTTGGGTCATATGGTGGGTCCACTCATAGTCTTATAAGGAATCTCCATATTGCTTTCCAAAGCAGCTGTACTAATTTGCAGTCCCAACAACATGTATAAGTGTACTTTTTCTCAGATCCTCACCAGCTTTTATTTTTACCTTTATTTTTGAAGATTACCACACTTACTGGAGTGATATAAACTCAGTGAGCTTTCATTTGCATTTCCTAGATTTCTAAGGATGTTTAATAATTTTTCATATATTTTTGGCTATTTGCATTTCTTGTTCAGAGAAATGTCTGTTTAGTTCATTTGCATATCTATTGATTGGTTTGTTGGTTTTTATTTTGTATTTTTGTTGTAAACTTTTGTAAGTTCTATATGAGGGGAGTGTGTGTGTGTGTGTGTGCACTTGCGTGTGTGTGCACTTGCGTGTTGTACTGGGAATTGGTGTGTTTTACCACTTAGCTACACCCCAAATCCTGAAAGAACTTGAAAATATCTTGTTTAATCACTTTTACTCACAGCTATGCCTAAATCAAGGATCTGCTTAATGAAGTGTATTATCTCTTGAAAATTTTATGCAAATGTGTTACTTATGTGTGTAAATTATTGTGAGGGAACTATTCTTAGTTTCATCAAGTTTTTCAAAGAACTCTCTGATCAAAGGATAGTGATCTATTAATTCATAACAAAGAAATAAAAAGTATTTGAGAAAATCCTGTAGCTATATATGTTATTTTGGGGTGTGTATATATACACACACAAATGCAAATATCTATTTATACACATATTAGTTTGTATCATTTATCATTTCAATATTATAAAATTAATTACTTCTTTTTAGAAATTTTAAAATGTTTATTTAAATAAGAAATGTAATAAAATCACAAGTCTATATAGTACAAAGTCTTTTCTTCACAAAGGGAAAAAAAGTAAAATAGAGTCAGTGGAAATTCCTTCTGAGGTTTCACTATCATCACTTACAAACTTAATACAATATTATAATATAGAAATACCTTCTGTAATATAGATGCTAAGCTACCTGAAAGATATTTACAATATACATGCAGAATATGTTTTGCATATATATAAAAGCAAGCAATTCTAATCAAAGTATAATAACTCTCAGTTTAAGAAAAGTCTTCTATTTTTCTATGTCATTTTGTCAGATTTTATATTAATATGTAGAGTCTCTCAGCAAAGGAGTCATTATGAGATGAATCTTACTAACATTTAACATATGAAATGTATGGCACAATTATTACCTCTGTTTATTAAATCAATATAAGAAGTTACATCATAGATAGGCAAGAATGAATTCTTAATAATGATATGTAGACACATGGTACTTAGATTTTGTCAAAGTAAAATGTGTATAATTGGGAAAAGACAGGTATAGGTTCTATGACTTCACCATCTAGATGGCCACATCAGTCAGGTGTTCCTTAGACAAAATCGTTCTTACGCCTTACTAAAATCTCTCAAAATTTCTTTGAGGCCTCAATTGGAACTTACTGTTCGGATGGTTCTGGAATGTATCCTCCAAAATCTCATGTATAAGACAAGGCAAGAAAGCTTAAAGGTGGAGTCATTGGGTTATAAGATCCTTCACCTAATTGGTGCAGTAATCCTTTGATAGGAATTAACTGGATTATAACTGTAGGCAGAGAGAGTGTGACTGGAGGAGGTGGTCATTAGGGGCATGTTTTGACCTTGGTGAGAAGAGAATTGTCTTTCTCTTTCTCTGCTTCCTGGTGCCATGTTCTCAGCTGGTTTCCTCTACCACAACTTCTACCATGATGTTCTGTCTCATTTCAGGTAACAAGGAATGGCGTTGGCTATCTATGAACTGAAAACTCTGAAACCATGAGCCTCAAAATAAACTTCTCTTTTAATCATTTTTGTCAGGTCTTCTTGTTCAGGGCAGAAAAAAAAAAGCTAAAACATGGAGACAGGATTTTGTACAAGTGGTTGCTGATATAAGTTCTTTTGTATTCTTCTCAGTCTCTTATTACCACACACATTTCTTCATTTATGTAATAATTCATGTAAGTATCTCTTTAATAGATATAATTTCTCAATGGATAATCTGAAACTGCATTATTCACCCAGGGGAAATTTTGACATGAATAACACTGTTCATTTGACAGATGCAGTTAAACAAAAAAAGGAAAAATCCTTATGAGGAGATTCTCTTTCCTGTGTGTTTTTAAGAGATTACTTTGTTAAATGCATAGACTGACTCTTTTATTTTTATACTTCTGGGATTAATAAGCTCTAAGTTTTTAAGTATGTGGCTCCATAGAATTGTGGATTTTGTGAGTTATTGGTTAAACTCTCCATAGCAACTTGTTTGTGTGCATGTGTATGTGTGCATGTGTGTGTATGGTAGTGTGTATGCATATAGAATTTTTAAAACAGGCTTTTCTATATATAAGCATCTACTACTGTTGGCAGATGGAGATAATTAATTTTTTGCAAACTTTTTCTTTCTTTCCCCTTCATTTACTGTTTTTTCCTTTTGTTTAGGAATAATTAGAAATCAATTGTTCATATATATTCTATTTTCATTTGTTCTTTTTAGATATACATGACAATAAAGTATATTTTGACATATTATATATACATGGAGTATAACTTTTTCTAATAGGAGACCCCTTTCTTGTGGTTGTACTGATGGTGTATTGGAATATGAACATAGGAAAATTGTGTCCAATTCATTCGACTGTCTTTCTAATTCCATGCCCCCTCTTTTATATGAACAATTTAGAACTATGGTTCACACAGACTAAAAAATTTACAAGAAATAGGTAACGATTAAACAGTTTATGCATGTTTTCCATTTTGCCAAAACTTCACAAAATATGAAAATCATATTATTATGTTTGGGCAATATTGTTGGTCTTTCTTATGAAAACAAACTAGAGCTTTGCCTTAAAATCAAAGCATTGATTTTTAAAATATATGAATGAAGATTAAGAACATAAAACAAAGGCAAGAAAAGAGCAAAAGATTTAAAACACAAAGAATGGATATGGATTATTAATTATCAATAAATCTTGAGAACCTGGGAAATGATAGAGAAGTGACTAAAGTAGCAGAAAAACAGTAGTCCAAATACAAAAAAATATATAACGAGAGGGATAAATATGAATGAAGAGGCTAACTTATTAGTTAACTATTTAAAATAATTTTATTTATTTAAAAAGAACTCACAAGATTTCCTGATTAAAATTGTACTTCAGAAAAGTTAGAATGATTCAATTTAATGTTAGAAGAACTATTCTGTCATTTTTTACTCAGATTATCTCTAATTATAAAAATATGAAATTAAAATAATTTAAAATTTAATAAAGGATATAATATTAAAGAACTTAAAATCATAATTTCTTATCAATCATACTATACTGATAAACTAGAATGTTTCAATAATAATAAAATTATCTTTGATTAACTGAACAATATTTATTAAAGAAAACATGCAAATATTAGTACTTAACATAATTTTAAATTAGTCCTGTTCTTTAAAAATGAAAAAAAAAATACAAAGATAAATCTTTATGTGATGCACCTTTTTATTTGTTTACCATAAAGTTGTTGCAATATTATCAAATGTGATCATGAGAAATAATGTAACTAAAATGTTCATTGATTGTAATCTTTGTATATTTTATTGAATTTAGAGAAAGAAATTTTATTTACTTTAAGTTTGTAATTATTCTAATGGGTATGGAAAAATATCCAAATACATATACAAGATTATAAATATGTTTTGCTTGCTTGTTTCTAAGAGAAAATTTATAGTTGCTCAATTAGTAAATTTCTTGTAAAAATTATCTTTATTATACGGATAGAGGTAAATATGCCTTAAAGCTAAAGCATTAATTTAATCATCTGTGTGAACAGTCATCTGTTTGTGATTGGCAAAATACATACATGTAATATGTATGGAGCTTATTTCATATACTTATGGATTATAAAAAAGAATAAAAGAGAGATTTGGGTCATACATTAAATTAAATGTCCTAGGGATTAGAAGTCAGACTGTCTGGAGTTGAAATACCTCTGAATGAAATTTGAAATAAGCAATGCTTGTATTACGTTGTGTATGGTTTGCTCAACTTGATAGATATATTGATACCTCTCCTTCCTCAGCACCACAAACAAATAATGTTCTAGATCTGATTCTAGAAGAAAGACAATCTAAGAGGTTCCTGCTTAAAGGATATAAAGTTCATTGTGTTTCCCCTAATGAAAGCCAGTTGCCAACTCACAACCTATAAAAAGTTTCTAGTCTTCAAGTCTCAAATGTTCCTGAAAAGTTTCCCATCAGCTGTCAAAAAATATTACCACCCAACAGTTGGCTGAAGACTCCAAATGACAGGGAACAAACCATCTTAAAACGTACTTAAAGAAAACTCAGGCACTATATAGAATAGAAGAAAATCAAAATGAAAAAAAAAAAGTAAGAATACTTTAGAATTACAAGAAAATTATTTTGCCACTATAAATGAATTCACAAATATGTACAATTTAAAAGATAGAAAACTCCCCTAGAATATTACAAATATAATAAAACATTAAAATACAAAACTAGCTCTTAAACAGTCAATTAGAACAGAGTACAGTAGAAAGTAGAGCAATGTAAAAGTGGGTAATAAAAAGGAAATTAGGAGAAAATGAAAAAAATCAATTTAGAAAAATAAGCAGTGAAATAAAAATAAAAAGAACCAGTCTTTTAAACAAAAGAATTTAAAAAGTGACTCCCTGCCATGAATAAGTTCTTATTTACTTCCCACACATCCCAACACTGTAAAATTTCAGGTCACTGGGCAAAAAACATACAAATAGGCTTCCAGAGAGAGAAACACAAATTGAATATTATAAATCAAATGGCTGCATGTTATGTACAAGATTACACACTATGACATAACTTCCCCTCTTTTTGCTTTATCATTTATCTTGGATCATTATTAGTCATATTCCAAATTCATTTCCACATATCCTTATCTTTTGATTCTAATAAAGAACCAAATGGTGTCATATATGATCCTGAGCATATTTCATTTAACATGAGGCATACACAGTAATGGGAAGGCTAGGTCAAACATTCTATAAATTTGTAATGTTACTGGGTAATGCAAATTGCCTCTCTTGGACAATGTACTGATTTTATATTATAGCCATCAGTGGATAAAATCTCTAAGATGTGAACCTATCATATTCTTTCCAGGCTGACAGAAGAAAAATTATATATGTATGGTGTTTTTAAACTTTGCTTTACTGGCAGTTTGAATTAAGCTGAGCATCTCCCCCACATGTTTAAGGGTACTTTCTGTCATCTCATGTAAATCACAAGTTTGTATTACTGACTGATTATCAGTTGTTTGTTTTCTTTTGGTGTTTTGCTTCTTAATTTCTAGGAATAATTGACATTTAGTGACTTGCTGAGTAAAGCACTGATGTTTTTTGTTGTTGTTTTTTTATGAAATCTACAGATTTATGAAAGATCTTGTATGAAATTAAATGCCTTTACAATTCTTTTTTTTGTCCTTTGAGTCCTATGATAAGCACATATTTTTACTTTTCAGGTAGTCAGTCACCAGTCCTTTCATTGTAGCTTCTAAATTTTAAACAGTAGCTATAAAGACATTCCCCATTTAAATTTACATATTATTAACCAACATTTCTCTTGTACTTCTGTATGTTTTTACATTTAAAATGTTTATTTGAATTTAAACCAGAGAATGATGGAAGGCATATACAAGATGTATCTTTTTTTTTTCAGATAGCTATTTAGTTGTTTAAAATTGACTATTGACAGTCCTTACATAATTTAATGATTTAGAGGGCCATTTTAGTGTATGCCAAATTTTCTGAATGACTTGGCTTTATTTTGTAACATTGTATGTAGGTGTATTCCTTGACTATTAGTGCAACAATGTCATGATTTTTTGTTATTGAAACTATACCATATACATTCATATCTGACAGCACTGTTCCTCCATCATGCAGTATATATTACAGCATTGTGTATATTTAAACTCTTTTTTCAGATTGTGTAAGCATGTATCTATATTATAGTAATATTTTTAAAATTCTCTATTTAAAACTTGAATGTTTTTATTAATTCAGTCTTATATATTTTAACTACTATTTACATGAAATCTTTTCTTTCTTTATATCATTTAGTCAATCTATTTGAGAAATATAATTCTTTTTTCATTTATATATTTATTGATAATCTTTATTTCTTTGTACTTGTTTTGAAACTAACTACTATATGCAATATGGGTGAAAATCTCTCAACTGCATTTATTTTTTAAAATAAAACTTATGTGTGTTGTACTGAGACTGAACTCATGGATGCTTTATCATTAAGTTGTATCACAACCTTTTTATTTGTTTATTTTTATGGTACTATGGATTGAATCCAGGGATGATTTACTTTACCAATGAACTATTTTACCCCTCCATCCCTTTTTACTTTTTTTTTGTTTTGAGACAGAGTCTCACTAAGTTATTAAGGTTGATCTCAAACTTGGGATCCTCTAGCCTCAGCCTCTGAGTTTCTGGGATTGCAAGTACCATCACACCCAGCTAAAATATTTTTTTCTTCCTAAATTTTATCTACAGCCCTAAAATCCTAAATGGATGTATAGATAGTGGGCATTTGACAAAAATAGAGTGGAATTTGGAACAATATGGTGATAAAAATGTTTTTTGATGAAGATTGCTTTCAAGATACAGTATTTCATACTCATATAATAATCACTATAAATTTACCAAAAGACTACAATGAATACATTATAATTAATATCTTACAAGCTCTTCCACAAAAAGTAGAATGAACTACTTAAAGGAAAAAATAGAAGGAATAAATATTCATTTGAAACATCAATTCACAAATGCAAGAGTCACTATTTGTTTATGAAAACTGTCTACCAGTAGATATGTTAGAAATGTATATATTTAATTTATATTAGTAAACTAATAATGATGTTCTTAAGGATTGGTGTTCAGAGAATTTGTCTCTCTCATTTTTTGCCATGATTTCATCTTTTTTAAAGCATGATTCACATTGTCTTATTTCAATCCACAACTTATTATCCACTTTGTCAGTAGCTCTTTTTCTCAAACCTATTAATACATATAATTAACATAAATGATGACACTGAAAAGAAGCAGTGCCTGTCAGCTCTTTCTCAAGTCCTGCACTATAGACCAATTGTCCTTGAAGGGGCTTCTTCTAATTAATTACCATCCTTCTTTGTAGGGTAATCATATTGGTGAGAATTGATTGGGCGTGTAAGACACTTCATTTAGTTGGTAGAAAAATCCCTTAATTAAAATAATTTTACTGCTGGTAAAATTAATGCTCCCCATGTAAACTCACCAGCTTGATTTTAAAGTTCTTCTTCAATTATATTTTATGAGAAACAAAATAAGATCTTAATGACAATAACCAGAAGAAATAAGAAAAAACCTTGCAGTGCATAAGATGCATAATTCTATTTCCATATTTTTCATTTGTTGTAAATTCTCTTTTGTTTTAAAAATTTTACTATTAGAAATTGTGTTGCTTAATCCTAATGTTGACATTAAAAATTAGTTTGGCTCTACTAAAATATTTATTGACTGTTGATCTTTATTATACTGGTTTCTTTCCCTTACACAGCCCAAGTCATTTAGATGCTCAGATGATAGGGTTACATAAGTCTTATTTTTGTGACAATCAACTATATTCAGTAAGTTCTGACCATACTTTCATGAAGGGATAATGATTAAATATACTTAGATTACTTTGATGCTAATTGCTCAGCACTGATTCATACTTAAGCAATTTGGACTTTATATTATACCTACCATGCTGTGAGAAATATATTTGTTATTATACTGCCATTCACAAAATTTGACTATATTTACTCAGAGATGATTTACCCAGGAGTGTCTTGGCTTTCTATTACTCCCCCCATTTTCCCTAAAAAAAAATTACATTCGTTATTACAGCATTTTAAATATGTTCCCTTTAACACGTTTTAGTTCTCAAAAGATGTTTCTGTTTTAAAATAACTAGACACATGTAAGCATTATTTCTAGTTTGTAGCAAAAGGAAATCAATTATGAAAATGATCTAAGTACTGAAGTTCATGAACTTATGTGGTGTGTGACAGGAGATAGTATTTCTTAATCTGCACATTAGAAGCATTTAGGAAGCCTGTAAAGGTCTTCTAGGTCCACCTCACTACAATCCTCTTTGCTTGTTCTCTACTGCAAGGTCAACATCAATGCGTTTCATGAGCTCCTCAGAAGATGGCTGGGTTTAAAACCATTGAACTAACATAATTTATAAATAGTCCTGAGACAAATGTATTAATTTTTCTCTAACTTCATTTGTTGTTCTTGTTTGTTTGTTTTGCTTGATAGAGTCATTTGTAAAGTAGTATTCATAACACAGTCTCTGAAGTTCCTTTTAACACTAACATAGTATAATCAACAAGTCATTGCTCTCTTCTACCACTTCTGGTCTTGAGTGTGATTTGCTTAATGAACTGATAACTATTTCTGTCATTAGAGGTTGTTAACTCTACAGAATAGTATTTTATGAGCATGATGAAATAAATTATCATGTCCTCTTCTTAAAAGACTAATTGTTAGTTTATTTCAACACTGTTTAATGTAACAGTAATCTTATAAATGCAGCTGCTGTCAGTTAAATAAAATAAGCTCTTAGTTAAGAACAGACACATCAACTCTACTAATTTGCTTATTGTTGATAAATTCTAATGCCAAAATATCAATGTCAGAGGAAATATTCTTTGAAAGAATTAATTGAAGTACCATACAGTTTGAAGAATGTGAATCAGATTTGCATCAGCTAAGTCAAATAGTATTAAAATGTAATCAAAGATAATTATGCTCATCAAAATAGATTCTAAGATAGGAATTGACAGTCTATAAAACAATTAAAATATATTTAATAAAATATGTGCTCAGTGCTTTCACAAGAGCTGACTAAGCCAGAAAATTAACTCTTATTGATACCTCCACCATTTGCTCACATTTACAATCTGTGAAGAACTTCATTTATTTGAAGTTTCCATTGCTTGAGATTATAACTTCAACCAACTACTTATATTTTCCCCTTTCTGATTTATTTATCCATTTTATCATCCTTTTAAAAATGTTACACTCTACAGTGATTTATTACTACTCTTAGAATATTTACCTGACACTTTAATTCTAACATTTCCCTCCCCACACCTTAATTTACTCTTTTTCAGAGCCCTAGTTTTAAAAGGATTTCTCTTCTAATGAAGTGTTTTTACAAATATGATTCCCTCAATCCAGAAGGCTCTCCTCCACAAATATTCTGCCATAGTGTCCTCCATGCCTCTTTTTAATGGTCATTCTCTCTGAAAAGCTATTTTGATCTCCCAATTTTCCCAACTTGCTTTCTCAATTACCACGGATTTTCTTTATTCAGCATATTTTTTGTGTTTTGTTGTTGTTGTTGTTGTTGTTTTTGTTTGCTTGTTTTGTTCTGTTTTTTGTTTGTTTGTTGTTTGTTTCTTTTTGGTACCAGGGACTGAACTCAGGGGCACTCAACCTCTGAGCCACATTCCCAGTTCTATTTTGTATTTTATTTAGAAACAGGGTCTCACTGAATTGCTTAGCACCTCCCTTTTACTGAAGTTGGCTTTGAACTGGAGATTCACTTGCCTTAGCTACCAAATAGCTGGGATTACAGGCATGTGCCACCAGCCTAGCTTGGTTTTATTTTTTAAAAGTTTTCACAGAAGGCTATTTGTTCCCCCTAAGAGCATTTTATTTAAAATATAACTGTATATTTATCACTGTGCATACTTGTCCATAATCTCCCTCAATCAAAGGGATCCATGAGAATAGAGAGCAGCTCTGGTTTTATTGGTGTTTTGTACCAAGCTGAATTCAATGGTGGTAGTTGTGTTCAGCATGTTTGTTAAAGGAACAAATCACAGTAAAAGACAATTAATTTCATTTTGCTTTGTGTTGTATTTTGAGATATAAAATTATCTGTATGATCAAAAAAGTATTTATTATGTAGTAATTTTTGAGTGATCTAGGTAAGTTAATTTTTTAAAAAAATAAACTAATTACTGCCATGTGCTGTGGAGCACACCTGTAATCCCAGCAGCTTGGGAGGCTGAGGCAGGTGGATCAGGAGTTCAAAAGCCAGCCTCAGCAAAAGGGAGACTCTAAGCAATTCAGTGAGACCCTGTCTCTAAATAAAATATAAAATAGGGCTGGGGATGTGGCTGAGTGATTGAGTGCCCTTTAGTTTAATCCAGGGTACCAAATTTAATTGATCAATTAATTACCCATTAATCCAAATTGCCACACATATTCAAATTGAGAAAAAAGTTGTTTTTGCAAATATCATGGTAGGTAGCTCCACAGTAGCAGGGGTACTGATGAATTAAGTGAAATTTCTTCAAAAAACCCAGAAGGATTTTTTTTGGTTTACCTTATAATGCATATATACTGACAAAAAGAAATAATAAAAATGAGAAATACCTCATTATATATATTGATATATATTTAAATAATATATAAATTATATATATATATAATATATAGAGACATTATATAAAATTTTAAGCCATTTGATTTAAAAAAATTCATGGAGCACACCTTTTATACCTTTGTTCACTTATTACTCATTTTTATTATCTTCTCTTTCTATACGGTCTGCTACAACGTTCATTTTCAAAATTACTATGCCAAATTGTTTTGGCTTTAACCAACAGCATTCTTTGTCTTTCTGTGTGGGAGGCTATAACATTATTTTTCTCATGAGTTAAATATAACAATTGTGTGAATTAATGAGCACTTCACTTAAAATACAAGTGACTAAATAGGATTAACAAAATGAAATGCCAGACTATTGTTCAAATTATTCTCTATTATTTGAAAATATTTTAAGTTTAATGAAGACATATTTCCTAATAATATGTTTTGTTTATTATAATCTCCAACATTTTCACATACAGATCCTATGTAGTTATACCTACAACTATATTAATTAAATATAAATCACCTTTTAAATCACACTGAAGCCATCACTAAAGTTTTAATACATGTGATTTTACTTAAACCTTAGAAAAATATGATCATTAAAAATCTTAATTCTGCAGACAGACTAGGACAATGAATTCTATTCAGAGCATACCTTATGATCATTGTTAATTTTCCAAGGCTCCAGTGAATAAACTCTCCCTTTATTTAGCAGGAGAAAGTATAACTCATTCATGGAACACAAGGAATCATTAACACAGGAAATCCCTTCAATGCCATTGCTATGCTAAGTAAATTTTTCTCTAATTTTTTCAAGTCATGATTGCTTTCTACCTAGATTCATAATCTTAATTTCCTAACGATATAATAAAGGACGACTCAAAGTATAAGTCTCTATGTTACATAATAGGTGACCATGTAACTAACTGGAATCACACTGAAAGTAAGAAATAATCTGAAAAATAGTTTTCATTTAATTATAATAAATGAATATCAAGAGAATATGATTCTGTGATATATTTCAAAATCTTAGGATCACTTAAAACTTCAACCCATCTCTTTTTACTAAGATATATCAAACTCAGTGCTTAGAATTAACCTGTCTTCACTGTCAAGAAACACTGCCTTTATTGCATTTGTAGTTGTAATTGTAATGGAAGAAATAAAAGCTTAATACATTCTAAATCTATGACTGTACAAAATAAATTTTAGGGGAGTAAGGTGTTATTCATATTGATAGGATCCCATAGAGTCATCTATTCATTTCAAACACAGCAGAACAAAACAAATACTAAACTTAAACTAAGTCATTTCTTAGGTGTTTTACTTTCTATTTGCTGTTGTTTATTCATTTTTTAAGCTAAGAATAATAGAGGCAGCTGGATGAGATATGCAATTTCCATTTCTGCATGTCAAACTCAGAGATCATGAAACCATTCAAACATAAGATTTCAATTCTCCTGTAATAACTTTGAAGGAGATAGTCTAGATAGATAGATAGACAGACAGACAGACAGACGTATGTATGATAGAGCAAACACCCATTAATGACAGATGTGGAGCAAATTGATAGAAGAAACATGGATTTCCAAACACAGAGATACTCTGGGCACTTTTCCTGTTGATCAGAATGTAACCTGCAGACCTCAACTTTTCTGAATTAAAACAACAACAACAACAACAAAACAAAACAAAAACAAACAAACAAACAAAAAAGGTACCCCAGCATAGATTCCAGTTGTCAGAATGATTATGTTGTGGTTAGACCCTTGTATCCTATGTGAGCATATAGTGAAACTATGTGATTTTGAATGAAGTGTGGGTTTATAGGGAGGTATTTGTGAGGAAAATTGGAGACTTTGCTATTTTTCTTAAATCACTGAAACATCAATACATTTTCTTCAATCATAAAAAATTTCCAGGCACTTAGGGGCTATTTGTTTTATTGGACCATATATAAAGGTTAGGAGTCTTGTGATATAGATTTTGCCTCTATTTCTGACATCTCATTCATAACTTGTCTTTTTGTATAATTCACATATACATGCATACAAACATGCATTTTGCTGTAACAGCAAGAAAAGAGATATGCAGTACATTCTTTAAGGCAAGTTAATTTAATATGAATGACACAATATATTTAGAAAAGTAGAAGCTTTTGAATGAATAAACTACCATACATTAAAAGAGGAAACATGAAAGCATTCTACATTTTCTTATTGATTCACTTTATTTTACTGGATTCACTTTATTTTATTGAGAAAAACACTATGTGTCCATATGATATTCCTAAGGGAAAATATAATATTCCCATGTGATATTCCTAAGGGAAATCTGTCATATGGTGTAGGATATTAAACAATTGGTAATACTTCAATAATATAGCTGTAGAAAACTATTTATGAAATTTACCATGAATTCATAAAGTGTTCTCTTTGTAGTGCTGCATTATTCAAGTAAGATGCTAAAAAAAATAAATCAACTCTTTTTTCTTTGAGTATGAATTTTGAAAATGCTGCTATTGTTCAAAAAATTAATCATTCTTAATTCATATGTAAATGGTGGTTAATTTAATAAGCATTGCCTATTAAAACTCTATTTTCTTGGTTCTTATAATATTAAATAAAGAGATAATTTAATGATTCAAGGTCATTCGCATTACTAAATAAGTGTCTTTGCTGAATTCAGTTTTCTCAAATTGGCCTCTTTTTAATATTGTAGTTAACTTACAATAGAATGATGGTCTGTCAATATCTAAATTTCCTCAGTGATCTTACTTAGGTAATGTAATCATATAAATCATTCTCAATAAATTTTGTTTGCTCACAAATGTTTTGCATGGAAGTGCTCACTTAATTTTATTTTTTTAAAAGAGAGAAAGAGAGAGAAGAGAGAGAGAGAATTTTTTAATATTTATTTTTCAGTTTTTCAGTGGACACAACATCTTTATTTTATTTTATGTGGTGCTGGGGATCGGACCCAGCAGCCCTGCACATGCCAGGCAAGTGGACTACTGCTTGAGCCACATCCCCAGTCCTTAATTTGATTTTTTAATCTCCTCAAATTAATAATTTGAATTGGTGCCTTAAAATAATACTTATTTATAATACTATTTCCCATCAAATTTTCACAAAATTTTTACAATATAATCTCCTGTGGTTTGGGAATGCACTTTAGAATTTTTAAATTTCAACCTTTAGCTCTGAAATAGAACTATGACTATAAAAAGTAAATTCACCTTTTTTGGTAGAGTAAAACTGGGATGATTAACTGGACTTGTTTCCCAGGTCATTTCTTTACTCTTTCTTGCAGGAAAATTTAGATGGTTGATGGCTATAAATAGATTATCTACTCAAAGTATTATCATGAAATGAGGAATGAAAGAGGATGAGGAGCAGAGCTGCAATTGATATGGGAGGGGAGGGAGAAATGGATTTTTGTTCTCTGAGGATTCTGAAGTGTGTGTGGGCTGGGGCAAGGCATTTAGTTACTGTAGCATAAACTAACCTAACATACTTGTTAAGGCGGTCCATCTAGACTAGATGGAATGAATTCACTTGCTCAGGACAATTTCATATTTGAAATATGTATCATATTTGTTAAATTACTCCTTATCCTACAAAATACATAAAATATATTCTTGCAAGGAAATAAAAATCACATGTATTACAGAAAATAATAGATGTTTATTAAATTGCTAATAAAAATATACATGGCATATAGCAGTGCACTAATTCTTCTGTCCTCCACTTCTCAGTTTATGTATATAACTTGTAAAGAGAAATCATTTCAATTCAGCATTTGCCCTATTTCTTTTGATAGTGAGTGGCATAGCAGGGGGTAGTATAAACTGATATGCATATGGAAGTGAGCATCTATCTTATTGTTGGCAGCAAACTAATTAACTGGCACATATTAAGAAAAAAACTAAACTTGAACTGACTTTGAACCTCGATAAGCTTAAAAGAAGCATAATTTGGTAAGCAAACAGTGAAATTACGACAATGATGAAATAGTTTCACAATGACAGTGAAAAGAAGCAAAATAATTAAGAAAATCGCCATAAAAGGAAAGGCAATCTGTTTCTTGTATCCATGTCAGTTTATGTTACATCCACAAACAGCAGATTTTTTCATTAGCAAACTTTTGTGATTTTTATTTGGTAGACATGATACATATTTATAAAAATTTTATAACCTTATCCAACTGATTTATCATATTCTGTACGAAATATATTCAATGTCATTTTCTTGAAGGCTTTTCTTTTTGTAAAGGAAAACTGAATTTGACTGATAGTCTGAAGAGGATTTTAAAGCAATGTTAGATGTTAATCTCTTATTTTAAAAGCCACCTTTCTTAGGCAAGATAATCATTTCTTTTAGTAATTCTGCCTTTCATGATATAGTAAGCATTGTGCAATTTTCTTTTAAAGAAACTATATCACAAAATTATGGCTTATACAGAACACAGCAACATCAACATTCCCTGGTGATCCCATTTATGTTTATTTGAGGAGTTTACTGGTTTTAAAAAACTGTGTAGAAGAAAGATCTTTATTTCTTTAATGAGATGCTAATGGTAGAAGATTCTCATTTCTCCTCTCTCCTGTTTGTGACCATGTTAACATATATACAAACTCATCATTACTCAAGTAATTTCAAAAGCATTATCTCATTTTGTGTTTGTTTTTATTTTATTTTATGGTTTTTTTTTTTTGTTTTTATTTTATTTTATTTTATTTGTTTGTTTGTTTTATTTTGGTACTGGGGATTGAACCCAGGTGTGCTTAACCTCTCAGCCACATCCCCAGCCCTCTTTATTTTACTTTTGAGACAGGGTGTCTCTAAATTGCTTAAGGCCTCCCTAAGTTGCTGAGGCTGGCCTACCACTTGCAATCCTCCTGACTCAGCCTCCCAAATTGCTGGGATTAAAGGCATGTACTACCATGCCTGGTTCATTAG